CTGCCAGCGTGAAGTCCATGTTATCTGCTAAGAGCTAAGACCCGAGTTTTTGGAATTTACTTGATCTTTTTGACTTTTGATACTGTGTTAACTTTTTCCTCGTAAGAGTGTTTTTTGTTATCGAAACCTGTTACCTCTACGGAGAGCTCACAGTGTCACTATTTTTTCAGTAAAGACTTTTATTTGTACTTTGTTTGTCGAGTCGTGCTTTTGGGTTCATACTGGTTTGCCTAGCCGTGACAAAACATTTTAATGGTTTTATCAGGCAGGTGGCATAATGATGATGTGTTTTAAGCAACTAACTCAAGAGAAGCTTGGGACATGAGGGGAGATTCAGTATGCCATTATCCTGCAGTTACCACTTGTGGCCACAATTTCTGTCTTTGAAGTCAAAGTGAAGTCTGATTTCTTTGCTTTTTTTGTAGAAGTGAATATGAGCTGTAAGCTACAGCTAGTTTTTATTTTTTTCTAAAGGATAAGACATCGTTTTCACATTAGCATCTTAGTTTAAGGGTAGGTGTTTCCAGTGGCAACAACTGACTGTTGTTTTAGAGCTAGCATTGAGAAAGCCTTAGGGTACGTCAAACTATATTCTATAATTGTCGATAGAAGATGTTTTTTGCCTTTTTCAGCGAGCTTCTTGCATATTGTTTGTGGTTTAGGTAGTCTGTTCTTTTGCAACTTTGAGCATTTGGGAATAACCATTGAATGTTTAATTGTGTGTCCCGCTCGGAAAGGGGAAGCTAATAAGCCTGTATTTTTCACTAATGTTATTTCAACACAAGCTGATTATTCCAAGAGTAGGTCCAACTTTTTTTTGTAAATGTATTGCACATTTTGACTACATTTCCAAAGTCTGCAAAAATAAAATGCCTGTTCCTATCCACTACCAGGTGTTTTCCTCGAAAAATATAGCATGAGGGTGCTAATTTTGTGTATAGGATATATCAATTCTCGCGATGACCCCCGTATACAAGATGGTGCCACGGACGTAAACAACAACTCAACTTCGGAGCTCCGTAAAAACATATGTCTATGCCATCTAAGATTTTCATATTTTTGGAGTATTTATAACGAATTAACGGAAAATTATTTTCTGGCATCACTTTAACCTTTTATGGGGGAAATCGACATTCTGGTATGAGGGCGCACCCCGAAAGTAATAGGGCGCAGTGCCCCTGTTACCCGGTTTAGACAAAACCCTGCAATACTGTTATGTAAATATAACCAGTTGAGATTAACAATTGGTACCATTTTGACAATATACTGGAGGTCAAAACAAACACCAAGGTTATTTACTATATGAGATGTAGTTTCAGTCACACTTCAGCATACTCTGAACAGCACACATTCAGCATTGCACTTTGTAAAAGACTCAGGAATTCAAGATCTGTCTTCACATACTTTCAAGGACGAGTGTAGGGTAGGATGAGCCGTTCCTTTGATCTCTATCAGAATATTTATGCAATTGCCCCATCCCGGATGATGCCAAATGCTGAATTCACCATGCAGTTGCTGTAGGGCTACAGTATGTAAATAGAGGTTTATTTAATCTCAGAGCTAATGGCTGGCTGGGGAGGTTGTGGTAGTACACTTAATGGAAAACCTGCACTGCTTTGTGCTGTAGTAATGGGAGGAGATTATCTCACCATGCAGAAGGACTGGATGAATGCTCCTCCACAAATTGGCTGTTCCCTCTCCCTCCTTCTCTCTCTCTCTTTCTAGATGTTTATTATTTATGTTATACTCATAAGCCACACGAATGCTTTCATCATACTGAAACGGAAGCTGAGGAAAGTACGGATGTTTTATTCGGTTAGATGATGCTTTTTCTTAGACTTTCTGTTATTTGTCGTTAAGGTACGGTTTGTGATTTTCTGTTGTAAGCATTGCAGTGATAATACCTTGAATTAACCTGCCACCATCTGTACCTGTTCATCATCAGACGTCACTGTTTCAGATGTCACATCTGTTTCTTTCATCAGCTGCTTCCGTCTATTTTTCTCTTTTGTCAGCTCATGGGCCATGCCACTGTGTTAAAAATCCTTCTGACAGGCTGCCTAATGTTTACCCCTGAGAAAAGATCAATACTGCTGGGCCATTGTCCAGGCTTCATTCTTCAAACACAATTGATTGCGTTATATCATCCAAACCGGCCTTGACACGCTATACCAGACAAATCTATGTGGTTTGGTGTCACTGTGAACAGAAAGCAGTGTCAATTAAAGCCTTGTGCCTGTTGAATGTACTCATTACCTCTCGCACTTATTGTCAATCTGTGGCTATGATGTTCCATTCAGTTAATACTGAGTGTGGCATTTGATGGACACCATCATCGCGTGTAAGTTAGGTTTCAATGTAATGAAAAACGTGTAAAGATTTTCATCGAATGAAGAAGCGTGGCTTGCAGCTGTTTGGGTTTGATATTATTCAGACACAAACAGTGTGTGTGAATGGAAAGGATTCAATAATATTGATCTTGGGTTTTTGATTGGCATACTTTACTTTCCCATGTGCTGTGATTATATCTTCACAACACTTTGTTTACCTACAGTCCCTGCTCCACCCAAAATATCAACTGATATATCGTATGTTGTTTTTTAACAATTATTAAAATAATAATTTTGATTGATTATTGATTTTTTTTACGAGGTATAGCGCCATAGTTACATTTGTTTTATTTTAATAGTTATTTGAAGATCTAGAAATTGGCCCCCACTAACAACTTTAAAAAATCCAAACCTATAACTACACATTTTTTATTTTGCTCTCTTTTTTTCTATAGTACCAAACTGGCAAAAGAACTAAGAAACAAGTGGGATAACTCTTCCACTGATCTTGTTAAGTCGACACGAGGAGTATTTGATTTTTTGAATTTAATTTAACCAAGCCTGCAAAAGAACATGAGAAAACTGTAATTCTGTGTAAATCCCCCTGACTCTTACGTGTTGAGTGTGCAGAGCCCTGTAGGGTGCCCAGCCTCTTGGAGAGCGTCTGAGAGTTATGGGGGTCAGCTGCGAGCGCTCTGCTGCTGTCTGATAACTGATGCTGATGTGGATGGAGTAAGCCCTCACCTATAAACAGTTGCACACGTTTGCTTTTTTTCATTTTCTCCAGAGGAAAAAGCAGCTCCTTGGAAACCAACAGCATGAAGACCAACAGACGTAATCAGAATCAAGAGCACTTCATTCATTTCAAGCCACTTAAAGCATGTGTTTCATCTAAAGCACCTATTTATAGATAGATAGATAGTTTGGCATCGGTAGACTAAGCTTTCATTTATCCAATTTCAACTCATGTTCTTTTTCAGATTAATGAATATACAGTTTAATGGTCTGTTAACGCAATATTGATGAGGTGATGCTGATGAGATGCCCAAAGTAAATCAGTGTTTACAAATGGACGAGCAATTGTATCCACTTCTTCCTCCATCCGACCATTAATTTAATTGACTAGGCTTTGGTCATTTGTAAATGATCAACCATGGAAAAGAACATATCAATTAGGGCTCTGATGGGGTTCCAACCAGTGATGCGTCATCTAAATGTTATGTTGCCATTTTGGCATTTGGTGTAATCAAAGAAGCTGTCCTGTTATGTGACAAAGTCATTGCAGTTAATAAGGTCAGAAGAATGGAATATATGAAGTGAAATATTGATAATAACAAGTATTAAAAGACACATTTCCTTCCAAAACATATATATTAATGAACATGACAAAATCAAGCATTGTTTTTATTTATTTTTACATTATATGAGTTAACTTAAACTGCAGAGCGATTTAACTTAAAGTTGGTGAGAGTTGAACAAAAAAAAATGTTTTTGCAAAATCTTCCAGTTTCCGTTTTTCATTGAGGATCCATATGTTCAGTAGCCTGGAAAACAGCCGATGAATGTACTGTTTGTCTGACAATCAATAAGACAAGAATTGGCTAGCTAACCGAACTGGCAGCCTTCATGCTTTCCCACCCTAACTGTCTACATTGCGGGAGGAGACAGTGGGATATGTTAGCTAGTAAATTCTTGACTAATATTATTATTTATTTTATTAAAGGCAATCCCTAATTAAATGTTATGAACCTCTCCCCTCGTTGTGAGCTCAACCTTCCCACCAAACGTCCAAATTGGTTGTTCCAGTGGTGCCGAACTGAAGGAAGTGCATTGCCCTAATTGTTTATCTGTTTTTGTTTTTTAATTTGACTTTTTTGTGAGAAATCCTCCTCCCTCGTGGAGCTCCATACATTTTTAAGCACTTGACATAAAAGAAGTATTGAAGTCTACAAATTAAATGTACCTTTTACATTCTCACACACATGCTTTCATTCCCTTATTCGTCATATGCATCCAATACATCCACATGATGTGTCCATAGTAATTTACTGCAGTGTCACCCTGCACAAGTCCACTGTTATTGATGTATTGTCGTCTTTGATTCATTTTCTTATTGTGGCAGGTAGTCAACCACCACCACACACACCCCTGCCCCCCCCCCCCACACACACACACACAGCCTGGCTGATATCGGCCATAGTCATAGCCAACACAAAGTATCTGATAGTGTATTTTGTTCAGCTCACTCAACACGTTAAATTTAATTTCCTTTCTCTATCCTTCAGCGGGTGGATATTCTTAATTTCATCCCAGGGTGATATTTCCTTTTGTGTGCATTCATTTATTTCACTCCCATTTTCCTTTCCTTCTACTATATGTGCACTACTGTATATGTCTTCTGTGTGTTTGTTTACTAATGCGTTGCTGTGTGTTTCTCTGTGTGTCTGAATGATGTCGGTTTGTCTCCTCATCTGTCTGTCTCTCTGTCTTGCTTTGCTTTACTGTCTTTCACTTTGTCTCTCTTTGCAACCCTCCCCCCTTACACCATCAAAACACACACACGCCACATTCTTCCCAGGCTTTCCTGAAATCTTCCCACTACTGAGAAAGTAGGTGACAGCACTATATGCACATGCCGCAAAGGGCTGACAGGGTTTTTAACCAGATACGTCACAACTACAGGGGAAGGAAAATAGAGGGAGGGACAGAGGAGAGGAGAGGAGGAGAGCAGAAGAAGAGACAGGGAGAGAATGAGAGAAAGGGGGAGAGAGAGTACAGAGGGATATATTGGCTCAAAGCTGGTCTGCATGCTCCAGTGTGTGAGAGACAGAGGACGTGAGCGCAGGCAAGATGGAGTGCTGGCACAGATGAAGACTGTCCCTGGGTACGTATTTGTGGATGGCTGTGTGAATGTGAGTGTGTGTGTGTGTGTGCACATGTGCTTGCATGTGCATGTCTCTGTATGTAAGAAGGTTGAGAGCGATGGAGTTTGTAAGCAACATGCTTTAAGTCATTTGAATGCGGGTACCCAAGCAATGAATTAGGGTGTTGTTACATAAGAAGCAGTATGAGGGACTGTAGGTATTGAAGATGTGAACAGGCATTTTGGGTATGCATGTGTGTGAGTGCATGTGTGTATGGTCTTAACTCGTGTGTCTGAGAGACTCTACGTAAGTGCTGTAACTAAGTATACTGAGGAAGGAGGGATGTGCAGTTTACAACGGAGGTAAATCTTGTTCTGTTTGAAGGTGGAGGGTTGTGCTGCCTTGATTAACAAAAGCTTCAGTGTGTTCAGTATGTAAACATGTATTTCAGTGCATCTCAGAAGAGATAGTAAATATGTGTTGTGATGCACTGGAGGTGCGTTAAATGCTGATGTAAACACATCAAACAAATCTCAGTATTTTCGACCACACTAAGGAGGAATCACCTCACTACCTGCCTTGTTATGTTTTAGAATTTTGCATGGTTCCTGCATACAACTGATCTCCATGCAAAAGCATATGCTAACATATGTGCAACTTGCATATGTAAATGACAACATACAGGACAAAGAAGATAAATACACGAATGACCAGAAAGGGTAGATGCCCCAGGCAGACGTTAACTAGAGCTGAAACAAATAATTCAGTAGTTTATCTGTAGAACATCTTACTTTATAATAAGCAAAAGCCATTTTCCCCGCAAAATATATATATACAAAATAAGAGTTGCTGCTTTTCAAGCATTACCAGCAAAAGAAGCATTTTCAAAACTTTGGCTCTCGGAACTAGATTTGTTTTTGTTGTGCTGATGTTTTATTATCTAGAAGAGAATTTACTGTATATATAAAAAAAAGAGATAGAACTGAACACTTAGTGTGTAGCTCTTAGACAGACTTAACAGTGTCAACACCTGGAGGAAACAATGTTGTGGTGGTGGCCTGTCAATCATAATGTAGCCCCGCCCTAAGGCAAATGCTGCTTTATTGTTTATTATGCTCTTAATGATGCTATATTGAAGAGGGCTCAAAACAAGCTATTGAACTCATCAACTCATATGGAAAATGTTTACTGAGTTAAAAAATCTATTGAAAAGTCGGGTCATTTTCTCGTAGACTTCTATTCAATCTGATATAGTTTTACAACCAGTGGAGTCGTCCTCTGCTGGCCATTCGAAAGACTGCAAGTTCAAGCCCCTTCAGCTTTGGCTTCACGTTTTACACACAGAGGTTGCTACTTGAGTTGTAGCCCTTTAATCCCTACTTTCATATGTGCATTTTCAAAGCAACGGATGAAAAACATTTCAAACAGGCTTTTTATTTGTGCTCACACAACCGAAACAGATGCATCAGTCTACTAAAAGAGCAGTCTTATTTTATTATGGGTGGAACACAGATAAAATGCCCACACATAAAGACACATGTTGACACTAAACAGTAGTGACGTGATGGACATATGCAATATATAGGGGGCTGGCAATGGACATACAATGACCAGAATGAGTAGTTGTGTCCTACAGCAGTGATAGTATGTTTAAGATAAAGACCATATTATGTTTTGTTCTTTAGTGTTTTTGGTCTATAACAGTTGAATCTGAGTCAGTCAGTATTAAAAAAGAAAACAGTTTATCTCTGTGATCACTGAAATCAAACCATCTCTTTAAATAATAAAGAGCACGGCAGGAAGAGAACATGTGTTTTCAGTCTCTGCTAACCACAGAGAGGGAAATAAGAAATGATAGCATTTAACTTAGCGAAGTTGAGCTTTGGCAACAGTTAGTATGCTTCATTAAGTGACAAATGCTGTATGTTAGGGATTGAGAAAGGCTTCAAAAAGTATTATGTAAATGTTGCTCAGGGGACTTGCATATGAGCGAGAGAGGAGTGAACGAGAGAGATAAGGGAGGGATTAGAGTGAAGTGCAGATACACAAGTGACATCACTTGTTCATACTTTACAGCACTACATTTGAAAATTAATTCAGAGCACAGACTTGGTGTGCTGACACAATGTGTGAGTCACACTTGAAGTGCTAAAGGTTCTGGCAGTTTCTATTTTGGCTGTTGAGAAGACAGGTTTGCATCAATGGTTGGAAATAGAAACGTTTTTCTCTAGGATGTTTTGGATGTGCTGGGATTTTCAATATTGCCTTGAAAATGAAGTGACCTCTGGTGCTGCTGGGCGAAGTCACAGAAAGTGGAGACTCAGAAAGTTGGACAGTCATTGGAGGCGGAGAAAATGACTGTTATTTAGTTTCTCTCTTCTGAGCCTCTGCTAAGATCCCTGCTGTTACTCCTTTTGTGTTTCTCAACTCATTATTTTCCTTCTATCTTCATTTTCATCTCACAGTCCCCTTCGACAGTGCACATGAGCGTCTCCAAACCCCCACCGCTCCCCTCCACCTCCCACTTGGCCCTCCCCGCTTCCTCCACCTCCACCCCTCCCTCATCTGCCACCTCCCCCTCAGCGACACCCCACCACACTGGTCCGCCCCCTCCCTCGCCAGTCAAGATCTCTATGCAGGAGCACTTTGCCATCAACGTGTGCCCGGGCCCCATCCTCCCCATCCCACAGATCTCAGACTTCTTCCCACGTTTCCACGACTACCCCTGCACGCCACCGCCTCCGAGGGAGAAAAAGATCCTAAAAGAGGAGACTTTCAACGGGGATATGGGCGTAGGATTCAAGGATGGGGAGAGGAGGTTGGACAACAATGGAGACAGGGAGGAGACAGTGGACTCTGATGATGAAGACAGTGAGTTCTGATAAGGGGGATCAAATTCAATTGTGAAAAAGACGTTATCAAAGTGTGTATTTGTGTTTATTCATGTGAAAATTACAAGGCAATATATTTAAATTAGTTTTTGCATTTTCCTCAGAAGCACAACATATGTTTTCAGAGTAATTGTGGAGTCAAGCATTTTTCCAAGTATTAGTCACTCCCACTTTATTGGATTGATTAGACCATGTAGCAACAGTGGGACAACGGCAGAGAAAGTTTCTGCTCTTCTGAAACGGTAATCAAACAGGACAGATTAATTCATATCAGGCAGCATAATGTTTTTAAGAGGCCATCTGCTACAAATATGAGTCGGAGCTTTTGTGTGTTTCTGTTCCTTTCCTGGCAGTAATTGCTATGGTTTGTGTTCTTTTCAGCCTACCTGGGAACATTGGAGTTCACCCTGCTCTTTGATCAAGAGAACAACTGCCTACATTGTACTATTAACAAGGGAAAGGTACACACTATTTCAATATCTTCTTTGTGTCAACACACTTCTGTTTCTGTTTGGTTGCATAATCCTCGTTGAAGTCCAAATGAAAGCTGCTGTAATCCTTTCACGTTTGCACAACATGTCAGACTGCTTTATCTCAACCTTTTGAAAATAACGTCTTTGACACACTCTCTCAGCAGCTTGTCAAGTCAGTACTGAATCACCTTTTTGAACTATGAATCGCTGGGTTATGTTGACACATTTGGTTTTGCCATTGACACGCTTTGTATTACATATTGTGCACTGTCACATGATGTTAATTATGTCAATTTTACAGACCGCTTTCCTTTAGGACAACACAAAAGAGTCAAGGTTGCTAGAAAATAGAGGCAGTGAAAAAAACACCCAGAATCACTAATGAGATGTAGCTGCTGTAGAAGTGGTCCGTCACATCTGCTGTCTTTTTCTCACCCTGTCAGTTATATATGAAGTGTTTCAGGGCATGATGACGTTACCTTTGACACTGCTGTGTGTGTGTGTGTGTGTGTGTGTGTGTGTGTGTGTGTGTGTGTGTGTGTGTGTGTGTGTGTGTGTGTGTGTGTGTGTGTGGTGTGTGTGTGTGTGGTGTGTGTGTGTGTGTGTGTGTGTGTGTGTGTGTGTGTGTGTGTGTGTGTGTGTGTGTGTGTGTGTGTGTGTGTGTGTGTGTGTGTGTGTGTGTGTGTGTGTGTGTGTGTGTGTGTGTGTGTGTGCTTGCTTGTGTTCACAGGGACTGAAAGCCATGGACTCCAATGGACTGGCTGATCCATACGTCAAGCTTCATCTTCTTCCCGGGGCTAGCAAGGTCAATGCTCCAACCTTACCTCAGTGGCAATTAACGTAACATGCTACCACAAGGTGCTGCCCCAGACAGAGACACTCCCACAGGAAAGTCCCACATCCCACAAGAAATGCTGACAAAAGAAAAACTGAAAATAGAAAACACTCCATACATTATTCAACAGAACATAACAAAAAAACAAAACTATTTACTATTTTGAGAATAATAACCTCTCTTATTATCCCTTGATTCAGATGCCGTGAAAAGGTCAAAATGCTAAAACATAACATGGCAGCGGGCTAATATAATGTGTCGGTCAAGCCGTTGAGCGGAGAGCCTTTGCGTTCGTTACCGCTTAATGTGGCTCGTCCAATGCTCTGCTTTATCGAGCACAAACACGTTCTGGTCTGCTGCACCGCTCTTGTCTTGTTTTCAGCTCAAGCGGCAGGAAAGATAAGGCTTGCAACAACAGCAACCCCCCAGCTAAGGCAGAATACAACCTGTTGTCGGCCATTTTGGCTCAAGGTTGACACAAAATGAGGTTATGATAAGTGCGGGGAGGAAGCAGAGGTAACATAGGGCAACTGTCTGAGGTCTAGGTGCTAACAATAACAATGTCTGGGGGATTCTTTTTCCTCCAGCCTTCCTCTGTCTTCATTCCCGTTGTTATCGCTCTGCTTTCCCCCACTTTCCGCCCCTATCTCTGTCTATATCTCACAATCTGGCTGTGACCCTCTTTGACCTTGAAATACCAACAGTGTGTGGAGAGAATGGAGACAACTGAGAGAGAGAAAAAGTAGAGAGAGAGGGAGTGGAGAAAGAGAGGGAGGGAGAGACAGATGAGGGGAGGACAGCAGCAGGTGGTTGTCATGGAAACAGGGAGGATTGTTACACGGCTCACGTCAACAGACGAACGTTGATGGGGGGAGAGGGGAGGTGGAGCTAGTGGGGGTGGTGGGGGGCGCTGGGAAAGCGTCAATGAGTAGGTAAGTAGCCATGAACAGCCAGTTGTTAAATACCCACCAGACGGGGGCCACGTCACTTGAAAAGTACACACACTCACACACCTACTCATCGTCCACATTCAGACAAGGCATGTAAACGTTGCAGTGAGTGAGTAATCCAGAACACAAAAGGTTTTGGTGTCTGCTGAAGAATTCACTTGTCAAAATACCGATAGCAGAGACATTTGTCTTCTCTGCCCCACTCGTTTTCCTCCTTTCTCTCTCACTCATCCTCCAGCCCATGCTCTTTATCCAGAATACAGTCCAGCATGCTGTCTTGTGATGTGAAACACACACTGCAACTCATGCGGCGCATAACCTTGCCTGTATGCAAACACATGCTAAGTCTTTAGTCACAGTCACACAGAGACGCTGCCTTGATCTGTAACTCCTTCTTTATCTATCCTTTTGCCCATTCTCACACATTAACGTGGGCAGACACAGTAATGCAGGAAACCTCTGCGATGGTCATTGCTGTTTCCATCTTCCCATAGTGGAGGTGAATGGAAGATTCACTCACAGCTAGATTCTTCCACCGAAAGCTCTGGGAAGAAGGGATTGAGAGAGAGAGAGAGAGAGAGAGAGAGAGAGAGAGAGAGAGAGAGAGAGAGAGAGAGAGAGAGAGAGAGAGAGATGAAGAGATAGAGGTCTCGGATATCAGAGATAGCGATAGACTATCGATCTGTCCTTCGCTCTCCTCTCGCTCTCTCCTCTCTCTCTCTCTCGCTCTCTCTCCTCTCTCTCGTCTCTCTCTTCTCTCCTCTCGCTCTCATCGAGAAAATATAAGTAAAAAGATCCATGCAAACAGATGGAGATAGGGGAGAGTGTGATGGACAGATGGAGGGCTAGAGATAAAACATTTAGAAACAGATGCACCAGTATAGTGCGGAAATGGAGGCGGGGTGTTATACAGGGCAAGGAGAGGGAACTGGTGCATTAAGTGTTTGTAAAGAGGTATGTTTAGAAAACCAACCCAATTCACTCATTCAGGAGTGATGATTGTTTATAAAATTGCTGTATTGTTGAGCTGTGCTGACACACATACAGCTGTGCGCCACCGCTGTGTCGTGACTGTGCCTGTAAATGTGCCTGTAAATGTCTCCTCCTGCACATTAATGAATCAAACAAATGACAGAAATCAAATACGCTTGTTTCTTTCATGGGCCGAGCCCTGGGGGGCTGACTCCTGAAGATAAGCCAAAAGTTTCCAGCAGAAAATGGATAATAAAAAGGGGACAGTGATGGGAGAAAGGGAGTTAGAGGGGAAGGCACAGGCACAGGCAGAACAATGGGATGTGGGGACAAAAACAGACCATGAGAAAGAAGATGGAAGAGAGGCTCAGCTTCTGGCCCTGAGGCGTTAAGAGACTGACTGTGGCAGAAAGGAAAAAAGAGAGGGAGAGAGAGACGAGGTGTTTATCTGCAAAGTTCAGACATGAGCAAGTTTTTTAAGAGAAGTCAAGACCATTTTTCTACTAGCTGGACATTTAAAGAGTACGCCTATAGTTATGAATAAACACTAGTGACTAGTTTGGGGCGGTGGTGGTGAAGTCGATAGGGACTTGGCTTGGCAACTGGAAGGTCACCAGTTCAAGTCCCGGAAAGACCAAGTGCTACCGAGGTGTCCCTGAGCAAGGCACCGTTCCCTACACTGCTCCCCGGGCGCCGTTCAAAATGGCAGCCCACTGCTCCTAACACTAGGATGGGTCAAATGCAGAGAAACACGAGGGATTCATAAAAGTCCATCTTATTTTAGTGGTATATCCTTTACTTTATTAAAAAAATGCAAATGAAAAATAATCTATTACAAAAAAAGGACATGACATCAAAATATCACCTTTGAGAGTATTGACTGCAAAAATAAAAAATGTGTAAGGAGAAGGGCTCAGTCTTATTTAAAAACAAATATGTTACTGATGCATTACATGTTATGCAGTATTTCAATGTAAGCAGTCATCATCTTTCTTACTGCTTTCTATACCGTTGGACATTTTAAAAGATAAGGCTGACGATGCTCCATATTTTTCTCACTGTCAACAAATCCCATAAAACGACCAAATCAACAATATGCTAGTCCTTTTCTCAATACCCTCAGACTCATCCATGCCAAGCTGCGTTATTCAGCCCGAGCCAAACTGTTCTGGCTGAAGATGCTGAATAAATCTTCAAAAATGGCTCACAAATACTCCAACTCCTTAAAAGATGCCCATTTTAGTGGCGTACATTTTCCCTGGTGGACTTTCTTCAGAGGTGGATTTATTACGTAATTAACAGTATACATCAGATTGTCTAAAATCAGGATGTCTTTTATGGGAGCTCTCTAAAATCTGTAAAATAACGTTAATGATGACCCTGATAAGTAGAAGACTACCTTTTCCCAATCAAGCATCCACTATAAATATCTTGTGATGCCTTTTAGTATAGCTAAATCATTTTACCAGAGCTTGCGTCACCATTTCTAATATCTAGCGCCAATTTTTGGTGGATGCTGCTTCCGACGCAGGAGAGGATCTCTCCCAGCGATGGTCCAGGTCTGAGGCTTCCCTCATTCAAATTCTTGCATGCACACTGGTTAATGTGTTTGGGGGCTCCTCAGTGGAATAGGACACCTGGAAGACAGAACTCCCGTAAGACTCCCCCACCTGCTGACTGTTTTTCATCTGAGACAGCTCTGCAGTTTATAATTATGAATCCCTCTTCTTGGCATGACCCACCCTGCTTAGTTTGTTGAGGTGAGGCAATGACTTTGAGTGGTCCGGGTCAGATTGGCCCGTTATACAGGGCATATAGAACCTGAACAAATTGGGTTATTGGTGCCTCGTGCCAGCATCAACCCATGGCCGATCCTTGCACTTGAATGCTCTGCATCAACTCCTCCTCCTCCTTTCTCCATCAACATACTAGCAACTCTACCAGCACACTTCTATTCATTTCCTGCCCTTGTATAGCAATTTTCTCTACCTGCCTGATTGTTTACCAAATCTCTTTTTACTGAGCTTTTACAAAATATACCAAAACAAATGTTTAGGGTCCTTTTTTATAGTATTTTGGACACTAATGGAGATCTTTGGCACGAGGAATAAGCCATCACCAGATGTATCCTATAGTGTGCTGTACCATACGCTCTCTGTAGGTATTTGAAATCTAATTATAATTCAAATATAGCTGTGAATTAATGGAAGTGGTGCTGAAGTAAAGTTGCAGTAAAAGCAGAAGCACGTCAAAATGAGCCACTCCCGCAGCTGAGAACAGCCAATTAGTTCTGCCTTTGATCTTGGTCTTATTAACCCACATACCATTACCATTTTGACAAAGACTGTGTTATTCGGAGGTTTGGCTTTGCAGGAGTTGAATTTATGTTTAAAAATCTAAAGAGTCGGTAAAAATTCATTTTATTGAGATACACACCCAATATCTAGGTGGGTTCAAAGCATTAAAATACATACAAAATAACATTTGAAATAAAAACATAACAGGATGAGCAAATCCTGAAGCAGCATGTGGCTGAAAACTTTATTTATGGAGGGTGAATTTATGAAGTGCTCCTGGGCATTTATTTTCTTAGAAAGCTTTAATTTTTCATGGTGAATGTCTCGTGCAACCTAATTGGCTGTTGTGTTAAGTTTGAGGCAGAGCGCTTGTTTTAAAGATCTGGTTGGGCTAATGCACAGTTTTATCATGTTGGAGAGAAGACAGACAGGCAGACGGCCGAGGCGAGGAAAATGTTGTGTCCTCTCCCTCTCCTCTACTAAGTAGGCAGCAGATGTCTGCGATTCCTGAGGGACAGAAATATATGATGTTTCTCCACTCTTTCTTTCTCTCGCTCTCATTCTTTCTTGATCTTCTAGTATCACTCGTTTCGTTTCCTTTTTCATTATCTTTTATTCTCTTTCTCCTATTCTGATCTGATGACTTTGCTCCTTCACCCTCAAAACATTCATCTCTTCTTCCTTTGATCCTTGCCTTTCAATGTATCTCTTTTCATATTTCTTCTCCTTTGTCTCCTCAGGCAAACAAGCTACGCACAAAAACCCTGAAGAATACGCTGAACCCAATATGGAACGAGGAGCTGGTGTATCATGGCATCACAGCAGCCGACATGACCACCAAAACGCTCAGGTAGGCGCTCCGCTCTGATTCTCACACTGGCCAGAAATTAGATGTATTCCCCAGACAGCAAAGTGACCACTTTATGATGTGGGGGATAACAATTCATGCTTACAGTTCTCAAGTGAACTGCCTGCAGCGCTCTATGAATCCCAATGGGCTTTTCCAGGTAATTCGTTATTTCAGCCAGGCAACGCCAGCCCATCATCCCACATGCAGTCTCTGCTGTACCTGCTAGGTGTTAGATGTGGGGGGAGTCTCTGCACTCTCCTACCCGCAATGCTCTCCATATGGACTGATTGAGGTCGAGCGTAGCCATCTTGGCCCAATAAGTCTGACACACTGCTGTCATGTGAAAGTTGGTTCAGAGTTGCGCAAGTGTTTTGTTTGTGTACGTGTGTGCTGAATACAATCAGTGTCAGTTTGCTCAGCATATTCATAATAGGGTTGGATGCTATTGTTTGTCCTGAGGAAACACGGGCTCGGATGCACACACACATACGCACATGAATCTCGTCTGCGCCTCACACACAAATGCAGGCTGTCCGGTGTGTGCTTATCCTCGTATGCATGTCAAGGGCGATCACTGGCAGGACACATGAGTACGCAAACAACACACGTCCTTGAGCTTTTACAACCGCTCACATTCAGAAATAACATTTACTCTCCCTCCCACTCATTTACTCACACACAGGGGCGAGAGGAGACAACCCTCAGACTAGAGGAAACCCACCTGACCTCTGTTCAAGGACACAGCCCACAGACACAAACCAGCATGGTGGCTGTAGGATGCTAAAACGAGGAAGAGGAGGAGTAGTGTGACCAATGTCAAGCCAGAGATGATAAGAAAGAGAGAGGGAGAGATGACTGCCAAGACCCACAAAGAGAGAAGGAGGAAAAGCGTGAATGATGTCAAGTGACAGATAAGTCAGTGTGGAAAAGGGAACTAGTGAGGAAAAGCTTGAGGAAGACGACAGTTGAAAGAGAGTGAATGATTGGCTCACAGAGAGGGTACTGCGATGGATAAAGTGATGAATGAGGAAATGCACTTAGCTGAGAAAAAAGAGCAACGGATGGGGAGGAGTTTAGTCACAGCTAAAATACGACCAAATGAAGACAGTGAGAAATACGAGAGGCGGAAAACGAGCAGCAGTGAATGAAAATATGTCAGAGAGCGAAGAAACAAGGGTAAGGCTTACGATAGAAAGAGAGGGAGGAAATAGGCTCAAACTCTCTGTCGATGTGTTCAAGTGCCAGCACGATAACTCCGCCAATAGACAGACTTTGTTCTCATTACTCCACAGAAGGCAGCATACTGTCGGAGAACGGAGAGACACAGAGGCATCCCCAGAGAAATGCTTACTCACTGGGTTTGCCCGCTTTGTCGGTCCCAGCAGGGTGCAAAGGCAGTCTGTAGTGTTTGATCCCTGCGCTTGGTCCACTGCTCAGCAGGAGGACACTGTCCAGACTTAGCCTCTCTGTCAACCTGCCTGAAGGCTTGGACAGTGCACAGTTTATACTTGGACTGGTCAATACTGCAGTCAAACAATGTGAGAACAAGGGTTTTATCAAAGCAGTAAAGGTATTGTAAATTGTGATCTCTTAAATGTTGCTCCTGGTTGAATTGAACTGTGGCCATGTGCTTTTAAATTCTTCAGCCTCTGCTCCTGGAAAGCTACTATATCAGAAATAGAATAGAATAACAACTGGTGTTTCTGTTTGAAAGTACAGCCAAACAAACACATTTCAAGAAAGAAGTTTATCAAAAATAATTGCAACTACAATCAGATTTAGGCTAGAGACACTACCGGTACTTTCCCACAGCATTGCAGGATTCAGTAAAGTGTGTTACATTGAAAGACTGTGATCACTGCTTACATCATCTCATACAGCAATCGACCACTTTCAATATCAAGCAGTCACTGTGGAAAATATTCAGTTTGCATTCGCCACATCCTAAACAGAGTGAACCGTAAAAGTCAATGCTGTCAATCCGATTAAATTGAGTGGATTGTACGCCTGTTTAAATTCCTAAGAACCCTTTGTGCTTATAGGGAAACCATCTTAGTCCAACCAGAGCAGGGCGGACTCCACCACTGCCAAAAAAAACCTCATACAGATAATGGAAAAGCATTGACTGGCTATGGCAGAAACTGCCTACCATAAATAGTCAAAACAGGGTTTGACGCTGTAAAAATCTTTTATGATTATGTCTATAAAGAAGTGTCTTACTGTTTAGTACTCCAGCCCACATTATAGGAAGTGTTAAAAACTGGAGTGCAGCTAAAAACCTTTGAATCATTAAAAAAGCTTTTGGTGTCAAGTCCATTCTGATGCACCTCTCTTTGTGCTGAAGGATAAATGCTGTTAAGAGATTTACGCGGTGTGTAGAGTGGAAGGAGCACTGCATTTATTTATTTATTTTACCATTAATTTACTCATTTGCTGGTACAGTGATTATGTAAGGCTGAAAAAAAGCACTTAAATAGAAAGGAACAGTTAAATAGAAGCTGGTTACGAAATGGCTTGGAGAAAAAGGTCTCTCAGTTGTTTCAGTATTCTTTCTTTTATGTTCTGTATTCAACAACCCTATTCTTCAGTGTGCAGACTATATCTCTAAGGGCCAATTGTAATTAAGAATTAATCTGCTGAGTAAACTAATAACTAATGTCCTTAACCCAGATTTCCCGGTTGGACTCAAATCAGCTATTCCTTCAATAAGTCTTGCGTAAAAAATCTACCAAACTGAGAGTTATATGGTTTGTTTTTAACAGGTAAACATCTTGTTCGAAACTAAAAACGTTTTTACAGATAGTATCTGCTTTTTTTCAATGTTAATTGTATGAGCTCTGTGACAGATACTTGAGAAACAGCACTGGTAAAAAGTAGATTCATAGGTCTCCTTTGAAGCCTGAAAGTGTGATAGATTAACTTGCCCCAAAGATTGTTGTATTGCAGTCAGGCCGACATGCATGATATTGTGATTATGTGCAAATGTCTCTATCAGTTGCTGCAGAGTGCAGACTGCCTCTGCCTTTGGGCACATTTCAAATGATTTAGGGCACCATGATAGTACGTTGCCTCCCTCCCCCTATTTAAAAAAAACATCTCATCATTTCTCTGTGCCTTTTTAAAAGATGTACAAAAAATATAGGCTTGTGGCTTTTACCTCTAAAAGGAATATCAAGGTGCCATTTAAAGGAGTAGAGATGGTGCATATGCAGATGTGTTATGATGGAGTGTGTGTGTGTGTGTGTGTGTGTGTGTGTGTGTGTGTGTGTGTGTATGTGTGTGTGTATGTGTGTGTGTGTGTGTGTGTGTGTGTGTGTGTGTGTGTGTGTGTGTGTGTGTGTGTGTGTGTGTGTGTGTGTGTGTGTGTGTGTGTGTGTGTGTGTGTGTGTGTGTGTGTGTGTGTGTGTGTGTGTGTGTGTGTGTGTGTGTGTGTGTGTGTGTGTGTGTGTGTGTGTGTGTGTGTGGCCTAGCATTACTATACTTGTGGGGACCTAAATCTGTTTACACAGTAACGTGTGGGGACTTGCCTCCCTTATGGGGACAAATTGGAGGTCCCCATGAGGGGAATCATTCATTTTAGGGTGAAGATTGGTTAGGTTTAGGGTTAGGGTTAGGCATGTGTTGGTCAAGGTTAAGGTTAGGATAAGTCTCCAGGAAATGAATGTAAGTCAATGTAATGTCCCCTGCAGTGATGTATACATGGTGTGTGTGTGTGTGTGTGTGTGTGTGTGTGTGTGTGTGTGTGTGTGTGTGTGTGTGTGTGTGTGTGTGTGTGTGTGTGTGTGTGTGTGTGTGTGTGTGGGTGTGTGTGTGTGTGTGTGTGTGTGTGTGTGTGTGTGTGTGTGTGTGTGTGTGTGTGTGTGTGTGTGTGTGTGTGTGTGTGTGTGTGTGTGTGTGTGTGTGTGTGTGTGTGTGTTAAAGGACTACAACATCTTGTCAGTGCCAGGTCTAGTCTCTCTCTCAATTTCTCTATTTCTCCATCCCTCTGTCAGCCTTCATAATGGACTCGCACATTCCTCGCTGTGGGGAGATAGGGACACATTTAGATGTATAGACTTGATTTGTTATCGGATTGAGGGAGAGGCTGAAAATGGCTACTGGATGCCTGAGGTGAGATGTATAGTCGAGTTCTGATATTGTCAGGGAGGAAAACATATTTGATTCTGTGTTAGATGTCCGGATAACAATGACATGTTGGGTTTGCCTTTTGTTTGCTTTGATAGAGGCAATGTCGCTCAGTTCACCATATTTCTGAGCTAAACTACTATGGAATGAATTGCTGTTAGAATTTGTTCAAATGTTTATGGTCACCCTACGATTAATCCTACTGACTTTGGTAATCTGCTTACTTTCCTTCATTGCCACTGCAATAATGGAGTGAACATAATTAACTCCATACCCACCTCACTTAAGCATGTTAGCTTTGTCATTGCAAGCATGTTAACATGCTCATGTTAGCATTTAGCTAAAAACACTTGTGTGCCTTAATAGAAAACTCAGTATTCAGTATTAAGCGTCTGTAAAAACAGTTTTCGACACTGAAGTTAGTTTATCTCCAATTATATTACAAACATGCTATGCCAGGATTCCCCCAAAATAATCTATGTCAATATCCTTTTAACGAGCCATGCAATTTCACTTCATGTTTAATTAAATAATGTGTTATATTTCATTAGGTTTACAACTGTTAGCTGAAATTGCTTTAGGGTTAGCATGTGAAAGGTTACATATTTACATATGCAAATAATGTGTCATTTAAATGCACTTCAAAATAAATATTGCTCACGACCCCTTTAATTCATTTTTTAAAATACCACAGCAAATGTCCAACAACCCTGTTGGCTTTCATGACAACAACATCCCTGTCGTCATGAAAGCCAACCCCATGTTTTGGTTCATCCCTACTTCCATGAGATCGTTAAAGAGATACTATATCTTGCACAGACGTTACGCTTGAGTGATAAAATAACCTCATCATCCGATGTAACTCATGAGGCCAATTTAGCGACTTAACACAACATTTGGCAGCGCAGGTTGAACAGATTCCACCAGCATCTGTTGGGTTTTTAGAGGAATTATAAAGCCGGAAAAATGTGGGAGAGAGTGTGAGGAAACGGATTGAGTCTTTACACATAGGAAGCCAAAGGTTTGGGCGGAACTGGTGTCACATTTCACCGCAACCTCCGTCCCACCACAGACACCCTGCATGTATGACGGAGCAAAGGCACATTAATCATCTGACAGCAGTGGTCATGTGTCAGAGTTATTCTGAAGCTCCTGCTAGGGATACTCATCCGTTATGTTTAAAAGTCTGGAACCAGCATGCCAAATGGACAGGAAGAGAACAGGAAGAGGGGAAAGATGTGTGTGTGGGTAAAGAGAGAAAGGGTCGAGAATAGACGATGAAGAGCGAGGAAGAAATCAAGAGCAGGGACATCCATCTGGGAATACTTGAGCACAGAGGGAATATTGTAGCAGGTGATGGGCTGTGAAGACTGCACTGTAGCTGACGGAACTTTGAACATCAACATCAGTTTGAATAAGTGCGCTCTGTAGAGGGAGATAGAGCAAAATAGACAAAGATAGTGATATGGTTGTCTCTTTTTGAATTTAGAGTGCAACCAAAGAGAACATGCATGGCTGAAGTCTTTTTCTGTTGTCCTGTTTTTATTTGAGTACCCCACGACATGTCCAACTGATAGATATATATATAAATAACACATAGAGTGCTTTTCGTTCACTAAGTTATGCGTTCTCTCTCCTCCTGTGACCTGAAAAATGCTTCCCCTCTGGTTATGAAGTGTCCTATCCTTTAAATGCACCTTGAGGTGACGATGAGTGAGGGGGATTATGGAGGAGCTGAGAGCGAGGGAACACCGAAGTACCCTAAGCCTACATTTTTTATCAAGTGCTTTGACGTATAAATGCCAAGCTTTAACATGTGACGCCGTGCAGCACGTCATAGATATCTGACGTCATTTAGGTGTGATGCTCTGGGTCTGCTTAGCATATTGCTTATCCTGTAATTGCCAGATAACTCCCCAGTTTAATACATTGTTTATTCCTTTTTGTTTCATTCAGTCTCTAATACATGTAAAAAATAAGAAAAGTGTGTCTAACATACATCATTATATCCAGAAATTGTTGTCTGTTTTTTGTTCTTTGTTTCCTTCTTTTTACCCAATGTTTTTTTAGTCTGCCAGTTATCTTTATTGATGACGTGTACGTGACTTTGTACTTGTACCTTTTATGACTGACTCTATGGAACCAGGGATTTCTCATTTGGCAGCTTCAGCTCCTCGTGTCTCTTCCTTGCATCTCTATCTCTCTCTCTCTCTATCTCTCTCTGTCTCTCTCTCTCATCCTCACTGGCACGATCATAGATGCAAGTAAAAGCCTTGAGTGAGGGAAGCAAGGAGAAAACGTTAGCATAATGAAAAGCACACATAATTTATTCAAATGAGTTTAAAGAAGCCTTTTTCATTTGATGTACCTGTATACGACACAAAATCAATGCCCTTTAACTGATTACTTGCTTCAAACAATCTCTTACCTCTAACATGTTTTAAATACAACAAATTAGTGTCTGATGGAAATTGAAATCCTTTGGAAACCCTCTTTTTTCTTGAGCAGCTTAACATTCACGAGACTGCTCTTGTGAAACCACCAGGAACCCGTCTTGTGTTGCAGGTGGAGGAGATGATAGATTGTTAAAATGCTGGATATATTTGGCACAGTCTCTGCTTGCTTCATTATTAAAAGCAGAGGGTAGGGTTCATCTGTTACTTTTCACTGACTCACCTGCCTCTCTGTTTGCGTGCGAAGGCTGTGTGTGTGTGACATGGACAGACTCGGACGTAATGAATTCATTGGAGAGGTGAGAGTGGCTCTGAAGAAACTGAGAGAGGGCGAGAACAAACGCTACAATATGGGCCTGGAGAGAATTACACAGGTAGGTACATTATATATGTTCCACATGCCAAATGGGTTTCTGTGGACATATACATCAAGATGTGTCCTATTTCCATTGTGCATGTTTGCCTGGGGGCTATCGGTTATCCATTTTAAACACTGCATTATAATATGTAATAGATATTCACCCGGAGGCTCTCTATGTTATAACCATTGTGTCTATCTCTCCCATTTCAGAATAAAGAAGCTAACAATCAACCAGTGGAGCCGGGAATGGTCGTGGCAGAAGAGGAGGTAAAATGATCACCAGATTTATCATCACCAATCTTATCATAACCACTTTCAACCAAAACATGGCTCAGTGTAGCTTCCTATAACTCTCCTTTATCTGATACACGTTCTTTTCTTTTCAGCAACTGTAATTAATCCTCGGTTTTCCCCATCTGTAAAGGAAAATAAAGTTTAATTGGGTGTTTTTCCTTTAACCAGTTTATGTGTCTGAGGCATGATCTCTAATGGACCGATGTAAAGGGAAACGACTCACAGGACTCCATATAACAACATGTTGTAAATTACACCGAGGCACCGGTCCAGTGTTTTCATCCCCTGGTGGTTGTTATCTAATTTCTCTTCATGATGTTAGAGACAGAGGCTAATAGCTTTTGGTCTCCGATTACACTCAGTCTATGGTTCAACCTGGAGATTAAAAGGAGAAAAGAACAGTGTCATTGTGCTGAGTTCAGATAAATCCTTTAATTACAAGCGTAAAATTGAAAACCACTGTTGCCAGAATTGCATAAAGTACTCATATCCTTTACCAAAGTACCTTAGTACAAGTAGAAATACTATGGTCGTAAAATACTCCATCAGAAGTAAAAACCCGGAATGCACCTTATTAGAATAACAGAAGTAATATCAGCTAAATGTACTCAATATATTAAGAGTGGTTATTTTCACAATACTATATTTTATATAATGTTATTTTATCCTGTTTTTATAACTGACAAATACATGTCACGGCATTTTAATGTAGTTAATGTTGTAGTAGCTAATAAATAACTGAGTGTTAAATAAATGTAGTACAATATTTGCCTATACAATGTAGTCGAAGTATAACATAGCATTAATTGTAAATACTCAAGATAAGTACAATTATGTCAAAAATATATGGTACTCTAGTAAATGTACTTTGTCACTTTACACCACTGCATGTTGGGTGTACATACAAAAACATGATATCCTACAGGAAGGGCAAATGTTGCAGACAATTTTTTTTTTTCTTTGTACCTAATTTGTTTTGCTTTTAGTGAAAGTGTATCAAATACTTTATTGACCCTGATGCAGCATTCCCCACTGTGTGATCATGAGGAGTAAAACGTCAGGTTGGTGTTGTGTCTCTGTGTGTGTTTGTGTGTGTGTGTGACACAGTTCTTCTGTTTCTGTGTCCCCAGCGTGGCCGCATCCTGTTGTCACTATGCTATAACACAGAGAAGGGCTGCCTGCTGGTTGGGGTAATACGCTGTGCCCATCTGGCCGCCATGGACTCCAACGGCTACTCTGACCCCTTCGTCAAAATGTGAGTCGATTCTGATATTCATGAACAAACCTGGTATCCTACAAATGATGCTCGTACTGTCAGCAGCTATTCTGCATTAGGAACTCACAGTGGTGAGATATTCACAGTTGTGAGATGTCCTCATAGTGCAGCGAAAAGTCCCGCTGTGTAACTTTGCACTCGCCACCTCCGTTTTAGAGATTGTGGAGGAAGATAACGTTTTTACATGAATCATTCCATCTCTGAGTCTGACAAAAAAAACAGAAGGAGACAGAAAGTAGCTGTCTGAAATTGCTACGTTGGTTAAATGCATTGGGAAGTTGTTTTCTTTCAGCCCTCATTTGCCTGAGTCTCTAACTGAGGGGGTGAGGCAGCAGCACCTATAGCCACATTTATGGAAAATAGTTTACGATGAAATCTTCATTTTAAGTCCTGTCTCATGAGAGCAGTCGTTGTTGATTCTAAGTTTATATTATGGAGCTGTTAATCCTTGGGTTGGCTGAGTGTGTGGGTGTCTCTTTCGTTTATGTATTGTTTTTCCCAAGGCACCTGAAATAAAACATGAAACAGACAGCATGTTATCAGAATTGTGTTGCATATTAAGTTGGGAAGGATTTAATCAGATTCCAGAACAATTTAAAATGGGAAATAATTGACTCTGGGTTTTGATCTGTCTCATATGCCATACAAAAATGTGCTATGCTAGCAAAAGTATTTAGATGTTCACCTGAGGCATGGTAGAGCTAGCCTCATAGCTACAACTATGCACAGAGTCTGTTTCTAGTAGGGACTTGGTAGTGACTTGGAATTTGGTTAGTTTGCCAAGGTGCCCCTGAGCAAGGCACCCCCATACTGCCCCCAGGGCGCTGTACATAATGGCTGCCCACTGCTCCTAATACTAGGATGGGTCAGATGCAGAATCCTGGGGCAGCAGTAGCTCAGTCTGTTGGGACTTGGCACGAGAACATAAGGATGTGTACGGGTAGCTGGAGAGGTGCCAGTTCACCTCCTGGACACTGCCGATTTGCCCTTGAGCAAGGCACCAAACCCCCTCATTCTATGAACTAACCAGACATTTCATCTGTTTACTTTACCCACTGTAAATCATTTGTGAAGGCCCCAATAGGCAACAGTAATTTTGAAATATCTGTGATGATATTTTTAGTCTGTCTAAAAAGTCTGTGTAAAAGTCCCACCTCGCATCACTTCTGACCTTAATAAAGCCTCAAACTGAGAGGTCATATCAATGCAGCTGCTCGCAGTCGGAACACTGTGAGTGAAGAATGCCACTGCAAATTTAATTTCACAGAGAGTGAGCAACATGTTTCTCCACAGATACTGTATATAATATGCTTTTTGGTTTGTTTTCTGAGGAATTTCTGGAGGTGTTTCATCACCAACCACAACTTTTTTAATTTTTCCAACTGTGAAAAGTTTCTTCATTTTCTTTGTCTATTGGATTTTGGGACCACTTTAAATTCAAGCCTTTCTCTTCTGTAACATAAAACACAGTCCATGCCTATTTCACACACTTTGCCCTTTAACCAGCCTGACACTTAAACTCCATCTTATCGAGTTGATGGCATAAAATGCCTTTTAAATGTTAAAATGTCATCAGTCCAGCATAGGAACAGTCCCAATCTCACTCCAGAAAAAGGTAGGACTGGATTATGTTAAACTGAAACAGTTAATAAAATAATTGGTCAATTTTCGTTTGATAATCGTTGTAGTCATTTTATTTAACAAAGAAACCAGATATTCACGAGGATTTTGTCTTTTCTCTTTTTTCATATAACAAAATCATCTTTGAAATGACTTTTGGACAGTTTGGCACATAAAGCAAGCAATTTAAAGACATCAACTGGGAGCTCAGGGAAATCTTCTGACATGTAATAGATTTCATAATTAACCATTATCAAAAAAAGAATATATTGGTGCCGCAATAGCTTAACTAGTAGAGCGGGCAACCCACGTACTAAGGTTGAGCCCTTATTGGTGCGTTCAAAAATTATTATACTAACTAATAAATAACTATTATGTTATAGATAATTAAAATAATTATAAGCTGTATATGACCGTATCATAGTTAAATGACATTCTGTCAGACTAAGCAGCTTCTTTCAGCCAATGAAAGGCTTTCCGAAAAGGGACTCTTGGAGAGACAAAGTGTCTGCCGCTGCCCACCTGAGCCCACCTGCCTGTGAGGATCGGGCAGGGACAGATAAAGCCCACACAGCTCAATCTCTGATCTGCCTGGTGCACCTAAACACCCACAGAGCAGATAGAGGGAGAGCTCCCACACGGCCCCCTTCAGTAGAGCGAGGCTTTGAGGCGGAAGGAGCTCCAGGCTGCTTGAAATTGTTGTCTGATTTGATAAAGCCATTGAAGCTTAATGTAAGTTCAAAACTGAAGCAAGCTTCTGCCGGCATCCCTTAAGTGAATGTGCTCTGGTGTCATTCAGAGATTTAAGTTCAGCCGTTTTTTGCACAATAAAATGTATTCATGTATTTTATTTCTGTTCTGTTTTCCAACAAATTCCAAAATCTGATCAACTGAGCTTGTTTGACCTGCACAACCACAATAAACATGATTTGAATCTCAGAAGTATGCACTTTAACTCCTCTACAAGCCACAGTACTGTACACCCACTCATAGCGCTGCTCTCTGTTTGATTCCATAGTTCACACAGATCAAAAAGTCCAGCTTTACATGAAGAAATGGGATGACCTAGTACACAGTGAATGCAGAGACTAATTTGTTTACCATGAAGCGACAATGCCCTCTAGCATAGGGAGTATGACTTATCCGTAGGGCGTGGAGAAGGAAGTTGCGTGATGTTGCTATAGAACCACAAAGACCCCCGAGGAAGGTCAGAGTCGTCTGGAGGCACAAGAAAACGTCAACATTGAACACAAAAGGTTGCAAATCCTTAAGCACAAGATCTTTAACAAAAAACCTAAAGCAGTCAGTTTAAACCATAATGTTTCCTCAGGGTCTGCGGTTCGATTCCCCTCTTATCTGCATGTCCTTGTGTGCCGTGGCGAGACACTGAACACCAAATACCTCCCCTTGGTCAAATGTGTGAAATGCCTTTAATAAAATCGTTCATTAAATGCAGCAGTTACTTATTTGTATGTCCCTAAACCAATAAGCTGTATTTGTCTGTAACGATGTTAGATCAGAAAATGTTTTCCATGTGTTGTCCGGTTACAACATATTTGGTAGTTTGATGAAGAGAAAGTGTTGTGGATCGAAAAGATGGAAGCTTTAGCGAAATGGTTGTAGATAGAAGTGTGGAACAATTACTGTTTGGAAAACAGTGTTTTTAGATGTCTGTATAAGTAGGACGTATTCAGCCAATCCCACCGACATATTGGCATTTTGAAAGCCTTCTTCAAAAAACAGAGTGTCTACTTTGACACACAATTATTTTGAGTAAATAAATAAAAAACATAAGCAGCCCGGAGTATCTTATTCCTCTTCCTTCTGTCAGTCTTTCCCACCATGTTGCATTTCCTTCCTATGTGTTGTGTTTTCCATTTCATCTCTGCATCCATTCACCGGATGTTTCATTTGTGCAGAATCTTTACTCTGATCTGATTCATATTTCTGGCACTGAAATGAGTTGGGTTTTTCATTTATCTCTCTTCCAAAGTTTCCTTTTGTTCTCTTTTGTAACGGGGACTCTGAATCTATCACAAAGAGCCTACTTTACCCCAGTTCAGTGATTGGTCTGCAGAGTATACTCTGCTTGTTTAATGTGTCTTTTTTTTATTTCCACCAAATAAACAATATCATTAGTGTATTGAAGTTTTAGTGAGGTTAACTTTTAACAGAAAAATACAGAAAAAAGGGGGTGAATGTAATGCTGCATAGGTGAATTAGGTCTCCAGAGTATAGTGAGCAATTGAGTCGACATGAGATTAGAGAATTAATTTACTTAGCAAGCTTTCTGGCTTATTTCACTGTCAGACTGGAGTCCTGCAGTTTTAATACCAGCAATCCTCTTGAGGAAGCTGGAACTAAAACTGATCTTGATGCCAGTCACTCTCTCTCTGTGTGTGTGTGTGTGTGTGTGTGTGTGTGTGTGTGTGTGTGTGTGTGTGTGTGTGTGTGTGTGTGTGTGTGTGTGTGTGTGTGTGTGTGTGTGTGTGTGTGTGTGTGTGTGTGTGTGTGTGTGTGTGTGTGTGTGTGTGTGTGTGTGTGTGTGTGTGTGTGTGTGTGTGTGTGTGTGTGTGTGTGTGTGTGTGTGTGTGTGTGTGTGTGTGTGGTGTGTGTGTGTGTGTGTGTGTGTGTGTGTGTGTGTGTGTGTGTGTGTGTGTGTGTGTGTGTGTGTGTGTGTGTGTGTGTGTGTGGTGTGTGTGGGTGGGTGGGTGTGACCATGCATTTGTCCAGAGGGTTTTTCCAATATGACTTTTCTTTCAATCAGCCTTTAGAAGCCATTCAAGTGGCACAAGGTCAGAATTATCGCAGAGCTAATTTGTCTTCCATTTAAAAGGACAAATTAGCATTTGAAGACTAAATGAGTTGACATCCTTCAGAATGACCCACATCCCTCTCCCTTGCTCTTCACACATTCCCTTATATGTTGGAAGAATACATTATTCTGTCAGAAAAAAAGACATGTAAAGGCAGAAAAAAGTGCAAAACATGTCAGATATTTCCTGCTGACCAAGCACACTGCTTCACAGTTTTGTTCTTTCTCTCTTTCTAAACGCTTGTGTGAAGTGAAAATCATGACTGCAGCAGGCATACAGTATATTTAACTCCAATTTCCAGTTGTCACTCATCTTTCTATCACATTATTTTGTTGATTTCTTAGTGACATTACTTTGGTTTCTGTTTTTTACAACAGCTTCCTCACCCTCATCTCTTTCTGTCACTTCTGGGTTTTTTTCTTGATTCTATTCTCTATTTCCCAGGGACACTTTTGCTCTTCTGCTTGTCTTTGCCTGACCTAAACTTGCTGTCAGAAGGGTTTAAGGTACCAAATGCACATGACCCTGGTGGTTGTCAAGCTGTCATGCTGTTTAGTCATGAGGGTCCAATGACATAAAGGGCAAAGACAGGCGAGAGATGAAAAAAAGGGTACAGTTGTTGTAATGGTAGTCACCAAATATTATGTAGAACTGTTAGTATTTCAGCTTGTGTTCATCCATTTCCGGTTACATGAGCATAAATGGTCAAGAAGCCAAAGCACTATAATGAAGGCCTTCCCTACCAAGTTTAAACTAACAAATAAAAAAACACATTACTTCCTTTTTTCATTTCTAGCATATTTCAATACTCACATGCCCATATTTTTTTTGAATGGCTTATTCGTTACTGTAATCATTCCTCTACTGAGCGCAAAGAAGACCATTGAATGTAAACCCCAATTCATGCTTGCTGGATTCACATGGCCCGGCGTGACATCAATTTAAAATGCAGCAGATAAGCTGACAACTTGAAGCTTGTTTCCTGTATATTGTCTTATTTATAGAAAGCGGTTTGTCCGCTGTCTGTGTGCAAGACCATTGTATCTCGGTTGAGGTATAAACAAACCCAAGATGTCAAAATCCACAGTGCTTGTTAAGTGCAACAAGGAATTCTGAAGCCAAGACAAAGGCTTCAGCAGTCTGAGTTCAAGTCGATAAATCAAGTCAGTGTTTTCAAAAGTTACAAACTTTTTATCTTAAAATTCATCAAGGATACTCTGCTGCTTTGAACAATTTAGTAACACATTTATTTTTAGGGTTTTCATACTAAAAGGATTGTTATATTGATTTGTTTAATTGAGACATCCTAAGCCCCTATCATCTTTGTCTTTGGCACACAGCAAGGATGGTAGATTTTATCCCCCATCTTTTGCAGAGCAGTTTCACACGCTTAAATGCGTTTACTTTATGGCCAGTACGAAAACGCACACAGTGAATATTAACTCTGTCCCTGTACATACAGTTATGTGAATATTGTATATCTGGAACACCGACTTTAATGCACTGCTATTTTAACTTAATTTGACCTGGTGCGATGATGTAAAAATACTTATATTATGTTATTATATTATTAAAAAACACAGCTTTAAGATGCCTCATTCAGAAAGATCAGGAAATGACTTAAATACTAGGACAAAATAACCAGCATTTAATATTATACAATTGGGCTAATGACGCATGAGGTGGTAATTAGTCAGCTACAAAAGGCGACAACATATTCATTAACACCAGCAAATCTCACACATTAAATATGCCCCGCAAAACATACTAGTGGGTAATTCACCCAGCTTCAGGTTTTTGAGAGACCGTGGAGGCTGTTTTGATGCTGTCGTGGGGTTGCTGCAGTAGATTTGAGTTTATGTCTGCGTATTTGTGTTATGTCTGTCCACTCCTTAAATGTCATTCTTCTAACAAGAGTTGAACTGATATGACCATAGTGCTCCATATGAGAAAAACAAAATGGTTTTGTGGAACCGTATTTAAAAATCATCATCATTATAGAGAAGAACAGCTGTTGTTAACCTCATTAATCAGTGGAGGATTGGGACTAAGTCAGAACAAAAATTGCATTACTGTATTTTGCTGTGAACAACATACACTGAACAAAAATATAAATGCAACACTTTTGTTTTTGCTCCCATTTTTCATGAGATGAACTCAAAGATCTAAAACATTTTCTATATACACAAAATAACCATTTCTCTCAAATATTGTTCACAAATCTGAAAAAATCTGTGATAGTGAGCACTTCTCCTTTGCCGAGATAATCCATCCCACCTCACAGGTGTGGCATATCAAGATGCTGATTAGACAGCATGATTATTGCACAGGTGTGCCTTAGGCTGGCCAATAAAAGGCCACTCTGAAACGTTCATCTCATGAAAAATGGGAGCAAAAACAAAAGTGTTGCATTTATATTTTTGTTCAGTGTAGTTTTAAAAAAAGAAAAAGCCAACAAAAACTGAGAGGATAATCCCTCCTATCTCCATGGGCCAGCCTTCCATGTTATGAATTATTCTTCACATTGAATTTTCTACGGTAATTTGAGCATAGTTTGGTTTCTGCTGTGCCGAATATTTTTATTTCTATCATCATTATAATGAATGTTGCTGTCAAATGATGTTTTATTATTCCGGAAATTGGAATCCCTCTTCTGAGCGGCCTCGAAGCCGTCTGCAAAATGTGATTTGGCACAGCAGCTCAGACTGAGATGTCCCCCGGTTCTCACCTCACCCTCTCACATGCTGCCGGTCAAATGCAGGCTTTGTTTGCCCGCCCGTCTCAATGGATCTTTTTCTTTCCTTCTCCTTTCTTTTCTTGTGAGGGCGGTCAGACCATTGTGTACTGTAGTACCAGGTATCTTTATTTTGAATAGCTTATATAGAAAATGACCTTTTTAAAATACAATAAACACCCAAGAGAGCCTGTGACTAGTGGCAAAAAGCGGTTTGGTAACATGTCGTCAGCTAAACAATGCTATGATTGGGAGTGTAATAGGTATACATTAGGATTAATAGTGCTATGTCCAAAATCATTTTAGAAGTTCTCCACTGTATAAGTCCTTCGAGAGGGCATTTCACAGCTGTTGAGTATGATCTTTATAGATGTGTACAGAGAGAAAAAGCTGCATGCAAATTCTCATGTAATTGGCACAGATTTAGCCACTGGACATTTTGTGTTGTTTTGCCCCAAATAGCCAATGTGCTTATTTTTCACAATTGTAAGCTGGGAGTTTTTATACTGTTGCTGCAAAAAATGACTTATCCATCTCGCAAAAAGTAAAACGTTATTTGTGTGAAAGCAATATTACTGTTTCGAATACATTTTGTTTAACCGTCACTTTATCCCTCAGATTTATCTTTCAAACTCTTTGCTGTTTAGGCTCCCCTACTGCGGGCGCGGATTCTGGGCCGTGTTTTGTGAACAGCTTGACATACTCTGATATTGAGTCTTCTTTGGTCAATCTTGTTTCGGACAAAAAAAAAAGGAAATGTTAATAAGTTAAGCCCAATAGTAAACAGTGTGTGTTTGTGCATCTCCTAGCTGTCAACAACACGTCGTAGGACTGACTTCACGCCCGTCACGGATATCTACAACCTTAGCCCAATCCTTTCATATGATGAAAATGTAATTTTATATAACTGACAGTGACTAAATGACTCAAGTCTTTGTGCCACCACCTAGCTTTTTTATCAAATCCTCCTCCGGTTCCTCCACCTCCATCCCTCCCTCCTTCACTCGCTCTGATTCCAGCTCCGCAGTGACAACCCCCAAGCCCATCTCATGCATCAGCTGTCAAGCCAGGATTCGTCACTGGCAGGAGGCTGAAAGAGTGCGATATCTCACCGCCTGAACATCTTGACTTGGAATTTACACTGATGATGACTCCCATTGCCCTTTAGCAATCCTCTTTGCCGGAGCGCACAGTCCTACAACATTGGCACAATTACTATCTTGCTTTGGCCTTCTGTCTCTCTCTGTTTGTCTTTCAATCTCTTACTTTCCCTGTCTTTGTTCGAAATACTTCTGGGTCGGAGTTATCTCAGAAAGAGATGTTGATAACTTTCTGACTCCATTTTGTTCTGCCATTCAGCAAAGTTCACTGTCACAAATGGTAAAAGATAAGAAATAAGGAAGGAAGTGACAGTTGAATTTCTTTGATCTCAGCAATAATGATTGTTCTGACCTTGTTTAAGAGGTAACATTTGAGGAACTTTATTTTTTTCTCTTTCCCTCAGCACCTTGCAGCCAGATATGGGGAAAAAATCCAAGAACAAGACTACCGTGAAGAAAAAGACTCTCAACCCCGAATTCAATGAGGTACACCCTTTCTCCTGCTGTACATATAGCCACCATACACTGAGCTACTCCTATGATTTTCTATAATGTATTTAAAATGTTGTTCTGCACCTTTTTTAACTTATTTTACATCTGACATTCCTTTTTGTATGTGTTCACAGCATCAATCTGCTTTTTGCTTCTACAAAAAGCACTACATAACCAATTCAGTTCCTTTTCACTCTCATGTTAATGAATCATTCATATAAATATGCTCTTTTGTGCACCACCTGCACAGGAGTTTTCATATGAAGTTACCTTGGACCAGCTGGCAAAGAAAACCCTGGAGATCTCGGTGTGGGACTACGACTTGGGAATGAGCAACGACTTCATAGGTAGGCTGAGAAAAAAACTGTGAGGGGAGGAAAAGAGAGCGAAGCAGATGCAGCAAAGTACATGACTGTAAAAGAGTGTTTGAATGAAAGCAGCGCACTTGTAGAAAACATAAAAAACCAACGTGGGCGGAGAGACATGAAAAAAAAGGAATGAGGAGTAATTATGAGGCTTGAGGAGAACGATTTGAACGAGCCAAGGAGAGTTTGAGTGGAAAAGGAAAGAGAGATGCTTTAGAAATCGAAAAAGACTTCACATCCTTCGTGGACTTTGCACATCAAATCGCTGCTGCTGCTGCGACAAACTACTTCGTAACCGCTTTGGTGCTGCCTGATGTATCATGTCAATTGAGCACATGGGAGTTTAGAGAGTGATGGGGAAGTAGTGGGGAGGCACAGTACTATGGATTACCAACCTGTGAGTTCGAAGGCCTTTAGATTAAAGCGTTTTACTCTCTCTAATGTGTGTGTGCACACGCCAATGAGACAGAGGGTGGGTGGGTTGGAGGGAGACACCTAGTGTTTAGATAAGCACAGTGAGTTATTAGCGCTGCTGGGAGAAAAGGCCACCAGTCTAACGTACAGCCCCAGATAACGACCATTCCCCTGACCATTATCATTACAGGTTTAACGACATCAACCCACCAGTTATGTGAATTGAGCCTGGGAGAAAAATTATTCTGAGACAAAGATAGATGGAGAAAACAAGTTGATAAAGAGGCCAAGTGAACATAATCTTAGTGCAATTGAATAGGAGTGAGAGCAATAACAAGCAGGCTAATAGGCTTACCCGAAGACATAGAGGTTGTCACATGGTAGAAGGTGAGATCTTAAAGATAAATGGAGGAGAAAACTGAGCAATGAGAGATTAAATATGGGAGTGAAAGTAGGGCATAGGTAATACATCAGGTTGATGACATGAGGATCTTCACCATAAATTAAACCTTGAAGTCTAAATCAGAGTCGTGTTTGGTAGATTTACAATGTCTATGTCCTCCTTTAAACCTTCCAGAAAACATGATGAAACTTCTAAAGAGACACTGCAGATAATAAAACTATTTACTCAAAAGTATTTTGCCGCAAGTCAAGTCTCAAGTTTATTGAAACAAGTTTAATTCAACTCTAAAGTATGGCTAGTAATGATACCCTGGATCAGTATTGGTGCTGATAGTCTCCATCACAAGCTGTTGTGATGTTTTATTTACTTGGCTATTAGCAACTTCTAACAATTCAAATGTAAAGGTAAGCTCTATGCTAGGTGTGCCTGTTGCTTTTTTATTAATTTCTGATAGTTTGATGAGACTTGAGTGTTTCTAATTTTAATTCTCCAGAGCAGGCAAAAGTGTTTGCACATGTTCAGGTTGGCAAGGCTTGCAAAACTAGTAGTGATCCACAAGGATTCATGCAAATGTGGATTATGGCTAACACACTTGAGCATATGTCTATTAAAAGCCATTCATATTGATGCAAGCAGTACGGTTTCGAACCTGAATGTTGCATGCTCGCCAGTCTGAGTTACAGCCTCACTCTCGTCTTTGTCCTCTTTTCCTGCGCCGGCTCCCCATCCCTCTTCTTTCGCCCAACGCATGTCAGGATGGCTGACCATTTGTCACTAGCAACCCACAGACACAGAAAACATTCCATCGATCTCTGTTTGGAGGTGGTGGGATGATTGTGGAGGTGACCAAGTGTTGTTTGTGATTATCTACAGGTTTTGACCTGCTCTCAGAGTTGTGTGTCTGTGTGTGAAGGTAAAGGGAGGAAGGATCCAGGATAGGAAACATTGAAGGCTGCTCCTCTTTTTCCAGAAGCAGCATCATTGCGTTCAATGATGAGTTGCAGATCAACAATAGAGCCTTGTATGCTCTTGGTTGTCATTTTCTGAAGCACTGTTAGAAGGTAGTATTGCCAAAATACCATGTTTAAACTCCACGCACCATTAACTGTGCAGTCACAGCCAGGGGAATGGCTCTGTAATAACCTCGGTGACAACTGCCTGCATCCCTCTATTCTACAGTCTGCCTCTCCACCAACGCCTCCGTCACCTCTGCTAGCTTTCACCTGCGTCATTTCCTGCTTCTCTGAATAGTTATTCTCCCCATGCTCTTTCAATAAATCCTTCGTTAACTGAATCTCTCTGTCTTGTTATTCCCTTACTAGCAGACTATTTATCTTTCTCTCTGCCTGGTGGTAATTGTCTCTAATATCTGTTTATGTCCTTCTTTGCTCCCAGATCTGCCTCCCAGTCAAATAATAATAATCTTTTTTGGCCTGAATTTTTATGTACGTTATTGCCGAATCTCAAATGCATTATTGAATGTTAGGTTCTAATGAAAAAATGAAATGTCTGTCAGTCTGTCTGTTGTTATTTTCTTATGACACCAGTCATGGAAAAAAAACTACTTTTACTCAAGTACTTACTTACTGAACTTGATCATTTACATGTTATGCCCCTTTGTATTTCTACCCAACTACAATTATGAGAGAAATAGTTTTGCTTTTATGTGAAAGCTATAGTTATCACTTACTTTTCAAGATAATAATCTAAATAAATCTAATGGTAATTAATGAGTGATTATCAATATATTTTGACTAGCGGCCTCTTGCTCAATACAGTGCATTTTGTTTAGTCTTGTCTAGTTCGATAGTTCCACTGAAAAGTAACAGTGTATTAAATGACAATATGAGGAAGGGTCTCTGTTGAACCAACACAGAATAACCACCTGAATCTGCCGCTCCCCCCTTGCAGAGCTCAATAGCAAGCTTAGCTCATTATTTAACTGTCCTGCGGCAACATTGCAAATTTGGTTTACTCACACTGCTCTCAAATGGTGTTTTAAGCCCAAGGCAGGCAGTTATTTTCAGTAAAAGAAAAAGCTCTATAGTCCCACAGTAAACTACCTGCTCTGCAGACAGTGACACAGTGACCAGCTAGTGAGCATAGTGGAGCATTTAGCAGCTAAATAGCCAGATACTTCCCTCAGGAGATGGAGGAGACCAAAAACAGAGCATTAAGAGAGAACATTTTGGATTTACATTCATAGGATGGCCAGAAACAAATGATTATCGATTATAACAGCTAGATGTGTAAACAAGCTGGTAACTAGTTCAATATCTGTGTTCCCAACTTTTGTCTACTTCAATTGAAAAAAACATTAAAAACGGTAGAACATTTACACCTGGAACATCTTTTGGGTCAAAATGATATTTTATTACCCAAAAAAACCAGTAACGGTTTTAAAGTGCTTCTTCTTTCTCATTTTTTCTTCGATTCTTATTCCCCATTTCTTCAAATGTCTCTCCCACCAACAATTTCCCCTCACCTCCTGACTCTTCTCCTCTGTTCCTGTCGTTCTGTTTGCAGGTGGAGTGGAGCTGGGAATAAATGCAAGCGGACAGAGACTCAGACATTGGTTCGACTGTCTCAAAAACAAAGGGAAAAAAGTGGAGTACTGGCATACGCTCACACAGCAAGGAGCCCCGAGCAGTGACAAACCGGACTAGATTACACAAGACACACACACACACACACACACACACACACACACACACACACACACACACACACACACACACACAAACAAACAAACACACAACATTTGTCTCACTCGAAGTGGTTGTTTACTGAGACCAAGTAAAGTAGTAATAAGAGCAAAGGATAAAAGATGCAATAATAATAGTCATAAAAAGTCTAATCTACTCCGAAGAGAGGGTAGTTCTAGATGATGCCCGACACAGAGCCTAATCATATAATGCCAATATTACCCCAACCAAGTATTAGTATATGATATTCATACTAATATTAGTAAAGGTAAAAAGGTGTAATCTGAATTTATTTTTTAAAGGTGAACCAAATTGTGACGATGTCCTCAATAAAGTGTTGACGTTACTAAACATTACCCACAGAATTGTGCTTTAGACCTTAGTGTATTGTGGAAGTCGCTCATATTCTGTCCTTCAAATGTACACCTAATGAAGAGATTTGAGAGTAATGTACTCAAAATCCATACAGTGACTCATAATGTGGTGTATAGTAACAGGAGCAGAGATGTTATGAAAGAGATTGTGTATTGAGAAGTTTCTATTTTAGTGGTTGCTGATCTGATGCAAATCAACACAGTATTATAAAGCACAAAAAGATCCATTCGGTGGATTTGTACCTTTACCGTTTCAGTGTTCTTGTTCTTATGTCTTTCATTGTCTTTAAGTGACAGTGGCTTTCTATAGACCTTCATATCAGGCATTAACGTGTCAGTTTATGTGTGTGAATGTGTGTGTGCATGAGGGCTATGAGAATATGAGTGCCTACATTTTCTGTCTGTACAGTGTGTGAGTCTCTCTGTATTGATGTCACTCCCCATTCAAAATGTGTCCATCCAAACTTCAGAAGCACAGAAGTCTGAAGAAATGATAAAAAAGGACAAAGAAGACACATACAAGAGAGAAATCCTCGGAAGCCAGCGCCGCCACCACAGGCCTCAGTGGTGTGAGCGGTCCTGGCTGGGGAACACTGACAACCTTTCAATCATGTGTGCCAGACCCTTTGTCATCTCTCTACCATTGCCAGACAGGTCATAGAGCAAATTAAAGAATGGATTACATCTTGATACGTCACTTTTGACTGATCTTTTTGACTTTCCTGATGAAAGGATGAACGGATGTTGCTTTTTGGAGGTGGCATGTGTTCCTTGACTTTGCTGCGGCGTAATGAACCAGATTTCAATAGGATCCAAGCAGGTTTACCTCAGTGACTCCATTTCTGCTCCAACAAAGCCACAGATGATGCAACATTTTCTCTCTGCTCTGCAATATCACAGCAGCAGCAGTGTGTCGATTTGAAGATTCAGGCATTTTCTTTGGTCCTGGGATCTAATTCATGGCAAAATGGATGCCTAAAACCTTGAAAATGTCCCCAACTTTGTGCACCCTCAGACACTGATCTCGAGAGGATATTGTATTCAATCTAAATCAGCCATTAGAAGGAGTCATTGCAGTGATCAATGTTGCATTCATTCCATTACATCAGACCGTGACCAGACCTATTGAATAGCAGGTCTACTCTTTAGAGGCATATTCTATCCTCTGGACAGGAGACACTGGGAGCACTGTGTACATGCTTGTGATTGCCTGCTGAGATAAAACTGTGCAGGAGAAATGCCCCCCACCTCCCTCCTCATCTTACATTTAACTTCAGGAGGTAAAATGGGATTTCACCCTGCATGCATGGCAGCAGGGGACAGTGAATAATCACAGGCCAGGATCCAAGATATTGAAAAACAAAGCTAGATTGCACACTTAACCTGCATGCCTATTATGTGTCTCTATGCACATCTGTGCATGTCGATGGTGTATCTGGGCTAGACTTTCACTGAAACGTCTAAACGCCTGCCAAGATATGAAATGTACTCCCCTGGTTCATCTATCACTACAGCTCTGGCCATGCACTGGTTCACAAAGCACACCCACAGTCGGTCAGTGGCCTCTGGGAGTTTTTCTAACTGTTGAATCGATCCGGCTGCTCATGTTCTTGTTGTCCTTCAACAACCTTGTGAATGTCTCATTGTTAACTGCAAAAAAATAGATCCTTCAGTGGTGAATTAGGTTTAGATAAAAAAGGGCTTGGGCATTATCGTAGGTTGGCACGAAGATCATGTCAAGTAACAGTGAGCTTAAACACATTTTCAGTTAGAGCTTAAATGAATTTAACAAGAGGGTTGGGCGAGGGTTTATTCTGTACTTTCTCTATGCACATCAGAATTCCCAGCATGTTGGCAGTGAGATAATCAAACCAAAACATCAACATTATGTTATCCATGCATCAAAGATGCATTTCTGGGAATACTGAGTTCTTTGATTGGAGCTATGCTGGGGACAGTGATCGAATACAGTTCACATTTCAGGCTGGTTGGTTGCTTATTCCTCTCTGAATCTGTTCGTTTTGTTTACAGTCACCAAATGTTAGACTTTTGTCTATTGACCCCGCTTTGCTTATGTAATCATTTTATCTGCAATACATCTGCATGTTTAGCAATCACTAACAGCTTGTATAATAGAGTGCAACCATAGCTGATTATTCTGAATGCTGATGTGTTTACAGTCAATGCCATCAGTGCGTATTTGTTTGTTTGTGAATATGATGATTCAGGGTATTTTTGCTCAGTTGCTGTGATTACCAAGCAAGCTGTTGCTTTAAAAAACAAAACCTTTACTGTCACAGATTTTGACACTTCGTCTTCCTTACATTGAAATCAGTGGTAATGATGCAGGAGGGCAGGGGCGAATGAGATGGGGAATTCACTACTGCAGTCCCTGTGTATTCACTGTCTGTCAATCACACAGTATGGCTGCCATCCTGTGGTGGGTTTGTGTAACTTCTTCGCAAAATAAATTGAAGTCGTTTCAGTTGTCGTCTGTCTTCCTTTGAATAACACATTTCATTTTTGAGAAACATTAGACAGGCACCCCATGTTTTAATATATGTTTATTCATCATTGTCTTTTAAAACAAACCACATCCAGGCCTATATGTGGTTTTTTTGAGGGTCACTTACTTTACTTTTAGCAAAACTGATACTGTACTGAATTTATTTGATGTCAAAGCAGAGTAAAATAATTAAAAGTATTTCCATTCTACCAGACTGCCTTTATTTACCCTATCTGTTACATCTCCACCTCCCCTTTTCTCTTTCTCATGGGTCCGTCACTCTGCCAATAAAGAGCGGCACATTGGCCGTGTCACTCCACAACAGCATGATGAAGGGCCGCAGGGCAGAGAAGGACGGGAAGGAGCGAGAGAACGAAATGGTGGTGACGGCCCCGGCCTCCACTCCTTGTTCATTCAGTGCGAGGAAGGCTCTGTGTCGGGCATCATCTAGAACTACCCTCTCTTCGGAGTAGAGACCACACAGGTTGGAACTCTCAAAGAGGGATGACAGTCCTGGTTAGGGGGAAATGGAGAGAAGAGTATAAGTGAAGTAAATGTATCTGATACAGGGAGATGAGCAGAATGATGTGTATGCTATTTTCAATAATGACACTTTTCAAGGCTGTCTCCTTGCTGGTTGATAAAGTAATACAACTACACAACCTGAAAGCATGGCAGGTATTAAAATAGTCTGACAGACCATGAAAGATAAACTAACCCAATTTCTTGATGAGCATGTTCATGTCTGGCTGGACATCCAACTCGATTTTGGGCAGAGTGACCTCCACATGCTCAGGGGTTGTTTTTTGTAATTCCTGTATCATTTGACGCACAGCTGTATCTGTCAGACTCTCTTCCACCAGCTGCAGGTCAGACACTTTTCTGGAGCTAGGCAGCAGGATGTAAAGACTGCTGTCACCAGTGAGAGCAAGCCTCGCCACCTGTTTGTAAAATGAAAAAAATATCCAGATGTTGACACTGAGGAGCCCTCAAAGATCACATTGAGACAACTATGCACCTCAAGACCCCCACCCAATTTACTTTAATGTCAAAATATGAATGCATCAATCAGGTTCTAAATTTCAGAGCTACAGGATCCATAATGTTTTGGGATATGTAAATATGAAGCATACTGTTGCCATGGAGTCAATTTATCTGCACTATAACTTCAGACCTCTTTTGTGCCAATATTTGAAACCCTTTTGCAAATTGACACCATTCAAAGCATGAAGAAAAAGCTATTGGCAGTTTATGTTTAGGATGAACCTTTGAATATGCCCAAAACTATCTAAATACTTTGGTTCCGTAGAAAACTTAAAATTGTGTTGACTCTCAAGCAAGTTTTGGAGTGATAAAGGGCATCCTCTTTCTCTGTTTTATTCTCAATAGACCATATCAAGAATACAATCAGAAACTGTTAGTCAAACTGAATACAAACATCTGTTGTGTCTGTGTAGTCAGATGTATTAAGACTATGAGGAGAAGTACATATTTTCACTTTTCACCTCACACAGTGGCTTTGCCTTCCATTACACCTTAGTAACTCTCCTCATGTGAAGTTGCCTGTTGTAGAGTGTGTGAATGGGTGGTTTAAGGAGGGTGTTGTTTTTTTCTCACCTGTGCCTTTAGCTGGACTACATACGTCATAGCCACCATGTATTTCGGGTGATACAGGAGCTGTACATTCACCAGATCACCATCCAATTTTGTGAAGAGCCCTTTCCTGGGTTTCATTTCATATTTGACCTTCCACTGACCTGAAGTACAGACAGTCTATTAGTTTTCACATGCACATCCGTACTCTTATGCGCACACACAATACTGACCTGTAAAGGAGACAGCGTTGAGCAGCATCAGCTGTGTACTCGGTGACACTGAGTCGACCAAATGCTGGATTTTATTGTTGGTTTTATTTGCGACCCAGCTGTTGATCATCTCTGTGTTGTTCTCGCTGGTATCCAGTAGCATGACGGGTTTTGCATCATAGAACTGGATGGACTGGTCAATAAAGGACTGGTTCAGATTGATTTCTGAGGAAGAGAACACAGAAACCACGATGAGCTGCAGAGATAAAGATTTTTTTTGGACACAGAATCTCTGCATCTACCTCTTTGACTTCAGAGGAGCTAATCTTTGAGCTTCACATAGTGATAGTTTTACCTGGGTTATAGTAGATCTGAGAAGCCATCTGCAAGGAACCGGCCAACTTCTCTCTCAGCTTCTTCATCTGCAGGTGGACACAGTGGAAGTCGTGAGGCACACAGACAGCCCTCTCAATGGCTTTACGGGTGTCCCCCCTTGCACCTGAATGCATCAGAATTAAGAAAATACATAATATAGATAGAAATACGACTGTGCTTTGGAGTGATAATGAAAGCTGCAAAGTATGACTGACATTTCATATAAGTAGAGAAAAACTCCTGTGACATTTTAAAAACAAATAATGACTTTTATTTAATCTAACTTCCTGTAAGTCATATACAAGATAATCTTTTATTCGTGTGCAGAGGTAACAAAGGGACAATATTGCTTGGACCATCTTAAAGGACAAGGTTAGTGTTATTTTTTGTTCTTTCTATGAACAAACTCAATAAAAGAAAATCTATGTTATATTCAGACCCATCATTTCTTCCCCTGCCTGGTTTTGGCAGTCCTAAGGATTAGTTGACAATATGACTAGTTTTAGAATTTGTAAGAATAATAACAAACATTATGCAGTTTAATTTTGTCATACCTAACAACAAATGGGACAGTGCCCCGATGATACTGATAGGAGAGAAGAGCAGGTTGCTGGAGGGTTGTGATTCTCTGAGGTATGAATACAACTTCATGGAAAACTCTGTAATGGATTCCTGCAACATGGGTTCCCCTGTGCGACTGTTCTCGTCCTGGCAGGGCTCCCATGGTGTGGTGAAGCCGCTGCACGAGTGAGGAGGAGCAGTAGGAGCAACTGAAAGAAAGTAAAGCAGACTGTTAACATGTACAGGTACTTTTTGTGAAAACATCTCGTTCGGGCTGTGCTGTAACATATAAGTATACAGAAAAGATTGCCAAACCGATTTACGTTAAATACAAACATTATATACATTTGTGACAGACACAAAGGACGGAACAATATGCACAAAAGCAAACAAAGGAATACAAGAAAAGGGAAGAGGAGGATTAGATCATTATAACTAGTCTGGTAAAAAGTTCTAAATTACTTTGCCACAATTCCTCTAGGCCACAGTCAAGGTGCCTAACTATGGTGTCAGATATTTACATCCCTTATAAATCTATAAATAAGAGACTGCACAGACAAAAACAGGTTGGATAATCAACTTCTTTTTCAAAGGGATTTTCTGAAAAAATAAATGTCATTTTTATTACAGATACCCTATCTCTGCTGTAACATGGTGGCAGACCTACCTTCAACAATGACATTTACAGAGCTCAGATTTGCCCCCTCAGCAGATCGACAAAGGTAAGTCCCAGCATCCTCCATGCCAACATCTCTGATGATGATGGTCTGATCATGGTCCAGTGGATACAGCAGCTCCACTCTGTTATCTCCTTCAGGATTCAACAGCTCATTGCCAAGACCTGTCTCTTTAAACCAAAGTGCATTGGCTTTGATTTCCCCGGCAGGTTGGAAATGGCACGGGAGGTGAGCAGTGGAGCCTTTGATAACTTTAATGCTATAGTTAACGGATGCTGGAGAAAGAGGCAAAAACACTTGATTTTGAAATCAATTCTACCCAAATTCACTTTTTTTGTATGAAAAGAGAAATGTGTATGTTCCTCACCATCAACTCTAACTTTGTATGTTATTATCATCTCCCTATCGTTGTCCTTTATCAAACATGAGTAATCGCCCTCGTTGGCAGCAGTCACAGGAGATATAAAAAGATGCCTGCCACCCTGTTTAACTCTAGGCGAGCCATTCGGAGTATTGGCATTTATCTCATTACCTGTATTAGGAAAAATATCAAATTAAACAAACATATAACTGGGAGATTTTGCAATTTGATGTATAGTATGAAATATAATTAAACCATTGAATTTCCAGGTGATGGCCGCTCCAGGGAAGTCAGTTTGAAACGAGAAACATGGCAGCTCCAGACTGGAACCAGGTACCACCCAAAGATTTGTCCCTGAAGAAAGCTTGACAGAAATAAATTGTTAAACATCTTGAGGCAAAGCTGCTATATTCAACAGACAAACATCATAAGGTTTAAGCACTTGTTCAGTTAGAATTATAATAGCTATGGAACATATTGGTACACATTCTGTGTGAGCTGCAATTATCAGGCAGTCATACCTCAAAAGCGAGCTGCAGCAAGAGGCAAAGTAAAGCCTGTTGTTTCATCTGAAACAGAGAATGGATGAAAGGTAGCAAAATATAATTGGAAAGTTGATGTAGATGTTTTACAAGTGAGGATTTCCAACTGAATATGGCACCAAGCCGAAAAAAATATCAATAATGTGGCGCAATACCTGAAACTAGTGATGTTGTCCACGATCAAATCTTTTAAAACTTTGATAATTTAGCTACAGCTTCCATTTGAATAAAATAAAGAAAAGTTATTTGTGATAGTCATTTCAGATATAAATAACATTGCCTTGGTTCAGTGATTATAAACAAAAAAGTTGGAGAAACATATCACAACTCACATTTGTTGAATTTCCAAATGAATCCAAATCACCAATGATTTTTTAGCAGTACTTCTGTCACCGTTAATTCCATCCACACATCTGACTGTCTGCTCCTCTGAACTGCAACTAACAATGACTAATCTGTGATTGTTGGTTTAGAGATGTTTGTTTGCATAATGCAGGTCTTCTGATTTACTGGAAATCACATGATTTCATGTTGGCAACAGATACAATGTGGGATAACATTCACTGCGCTTTTGATTTTACATTCATTGCATTTAATTTTGTAATGCAAAGATAGTGTTTAATTACTTATAAGTGATTAAGTCCAGGTTTTTTATCTT